CTGTAATTTTAGTAAATACTTAATTATTAAAAGAATAGATTCTAAAAGACAAAGTTGTGAGACTGTATCAAAACAAAATGTGAATATATGCTGCCTGTAAGAGAAGCATATATTCTGTCACTAAATATAAAGTGACAGAAAAATTGAAAATGAAATAATAAAAATACATACACTATGCAAGTGATAATTCAAAGAAAGCTGGTATTACTCTACTATTGTAAGTGATAGAATAAATTTAAGGCAAGCAATATTACTTGAGGTAGAAATATAGAAATATTTCTTGAACTGATAAAAATATTAATTAAAGAGGATGATACATGATAGCCTTATAATAGTCTATAAAACAAGATACTGAATGTATAGATGAATAAAATAGTGTGTTTGCGAGTATACCATATAGGTGTATATTCTTCATAGCTTATGCATCTATATAGTCACACTGGGTGCAGATTGATCCCAAGAAGGGTAAGTGACATTGTCTTAAGCAGTTCTCTTCAATCAAGAGCTATTTCTAGAGAAGGTTGATGACTAAGACCTATCAGCAGGCAGTGTTCATAGTTGGTAGAAAAGTCCTTCAATCTTTAAAAAAAAATTAGTGTGTCACAGGGTCCAGTACAAATAAGACTTATTCCAGGAATTTTAATGCAGTCATTGAAATTCATTGCATTGATAAAAGAAAGGAGAGAAAACTCACATGTTCATCTCATTAATGCCAAAAATGTTTTGACAAAATTCAATACCCATATATGATTTTTAAAAAATCTCGATCAAACCAGGAAAAGAAGGTAATTTCCTTAATCAAGTAGAGCTCCTTGACATGCAATTTGTAGCAAATATCATACTTAGTAAATTATTGAAGTTTCACTCCCTAAAACTGGGAGTGAAACAATGTGTCAACTACTCTCACTTCTATTCATAATTAGACAGGAGGTCCTATCAAATTCAATAAAGCAAGAGAAAGTGGTATTAAGATTGAAAAGAGAAAAAAGATGTAACTGCCTTTATTTGCAGATCATTTGAGTATTTCCTGGAGAAAATTCAAAAGAATGTAAAGATGAAATATAGTTGATATCTAACTTAGCAAAGCTGCTGAATACTTAGCCAACTTATAATAAAAATCCTCACCAAGTTCTACATATTAGCAACAGTTAGCAATAGGAATTTTAACACGGTACCATTTACAATAGAACAAATACATAAAATACTTAGAAATAAATCTGACAAAAGATGTGCAAGACACAAAGAAAATTATAAAATAAAGTATTATTGAAATAAACTTAAAAAGACAAAGGGAAGGAATTACCATGTTAGTTAATTCAAAGGCTTAACATTGTAAAGATGTCAGTTTCCTTAATCCTTTTCCTCTCATTCCAATCAAAATTCTAGGAGATTTTTATAGACACTGAGACATTATTTTAAATTTTGTATGGAAATATTGAGATATAAGATTATCCAAGAGTCTTCAGGAAGAGAAACCACAGTTCAAAGACTTTTATAACCAGATATCTAAGATGTATGAAGTTATAAAAATTAAAACAGTATATGCAGAGAGAGACAACTCAAGAGAACCCACAGGAAATCCAAACATGGAGCCATGCATATGCAGTCCCCTGATTTATGACCAGGTTTACACTGCAATGCAACTAGCAAAAGATAGTCCTTTCAATACGTGTTGTAGGGTCAACTGAATATCCATGTCTTGTGCATAATACCATACAGAAAAACTAATTTCAGGTGGGTAGAAGAGTTAAACATAAAACCTGGCCAGGCACAGTGGCTCATGCCTATAATCCCAGCACTTTGGGAGGCTGAGATGGACTGATAGCTTGGGCCCAGAGTTTGAGACCAGCCTGGGAGACACAATGAAACCCTATCTCTGCAAAAAAATATAAAAATTTAGCTGGGTGTGGTGGCCCATACCTGTAGTCCCAGCTACTGGGTAGACTGAGGTGAGAGAATTGCTTGAGCCTAAGAGTCAGAGGTTGCAGTGAGCACAACTGCACTCCAGCCTGGGCAACCCTGTCAAAAAAAAAAAAAAAAAAAAAAGGGAGAAGAAAAAAAAAAACAAAACCAAAAAAGCATAAAAACTAGTACAATAAAGACATGCTAAGTGATCATGTAGGAGAATGTCTTTATATCCTTTGACAATATTTTGTTTTTCTTCCAAGTCTCACTCTGTCACCCAGGCTAGAGTGCAGTTGTGCTCACTACAGCCTCTGACTCCCATGCTCAAGCAATTCTCCCACCTTAGCCTCCCTAGTAGCTGGAATTACAGGTGCCTGCCACCACAACTGGCTAATTTTTTATTTTTAGTAGAGACAGGGTTTTGCCATGTTGGCCAGGCTGGTCTTAAACTCCTGGCCTCAAGTGATTTGCCTACCTCAGCCTCACAAGGTGCTAGGATTACAGGTGTAAGCCACCGCACCTGGCCAGTATTTTATACTTAGAGGTAAACAAAGATTTCATAAACAAGATACAAAAAGTATTAACCAAAAGCATAAGTTCTTTCAGAACTTTTTTCTATCACAAGATAGCAAAGTGAAAAGCCATGCTACAGAGTGATATAACACATAAATCTGACAAAAGACATCTAGAATATAAAAGAACTATTACATTAAAAATCAATAAGAAGGAGGGTCACAACTCAATTTTTAAAATGGGAAAATACCTGAATAATCAATTCATGAGAGAGGATATTGAAAGGGCAAAACAGTGATTAACATGATTAGTTCTCGGGAAATGTACAGTAAAACTGCAATAAGAAACTGAAGGGTTGTAATGAACTTAGATTTGATTCAAGTTTATTGGATTTAACTCAAAATTACAGTGAAATAGCCATGACATAGTAAACAGGGAACAAAGATGCAGAGAGCAGGGCACACGGAGTTTGAGGTGATTTACTTGGATTGAAACTGAAGATACAGCTGCAAGAACTGGGACTGGCAAGATCTAGGCAATATTTCATCATTCTGAAGGCAATGCTCTGGTCCCATTGAAAGAACCAGAGTGCTAATCAGGAAACAGATGCAGAAACTCAGTCTCACATGCTTTCCAAAGGGAGTGATGTCAATGCACTGTAATTATGTGGATATGGATGCCCGGGACACTTTTCAGTAACAAAATATAAGACGAATTGTAATCTAAACTGGTGGAAAGAGTAAAAAACACATGGAATATTTTACTTATGTAATCAAATAAACTTTATGAACATCATCAATAAATCTACAATGAGATACCACTACATACTGACAATAAATTCCAAGTATGAAAATGTGGAGTAACTGGAACTCTCCTGCTGTCATGGTGGGAATATAAATTGATACAGTCCCTTTGGGAACCATTTAGCTGTATATACCCAAGCTATGGCACAGCAATTTCAGTCCTGGGTGTGTACCTAAGAGAGATGAAAATATATGTACACACACCCACACACACACACACAAACTTGTACAAGAATAGTCATAACAGTTTTATGCAAAATAGCCCAAACCCAAAAGTGATTCAAATTCTGTCAATATTGGAATATGTAATGTTATAGTTTATTCCTATAATGCAATATTATACTACAATGAAAAAGAATAAATTACGTGTACATGGAATAATGTGAGTGATATAATATTAAGTTAAAGAAGATATAGATTGTGTGTGTTTTATTATTATATTGACAGTTGGAAAACAAACAAAATTACATCATGATGATAAAGATTAGTGGCTATGTTTGAGCATATTAATGACTAGGAGAAGCCATTTGGGAGGCTGCTGGGTTTTTGATAATAATCTATAGTTTGCTTTGAATAATAATTACACAGGCATATTTACTATGTAATATTTATTCATCCATACATACACAATATTTATGCACTTCATATGTATTTTGGTTCACTAAAATATTTGAAAAAAAGAAGAATGATGGAGGGTTCAACTGTGTCAAAGATGTAGATGACTCATTTAAAAGGAAGAACGGCAACATAGAGGTCACTGATAGCCTTGACCAAAGGAGTTTCAATGCGGTAATTAGGATGAACACATAAATGGAGTGGGTTCAGGAGAGACTGGGAGGAGAGTAAGTTGAGGCAGTGAGTATTGTCTAGGTTCTAACTCTGGTTGGGATCCAAGGTCCCTCATGATCTTGCCCTACCTAATCTATATATTCTTTTCTTCCATTAAAATATCTACCTTTTTTTCCCCAAAGTCCTAAGGTCCCTTTTGGCTTTTACCCTATAACACACACTGTTACTCTGTGTTATCTAAATGAGACAAACATTCATCAGGGAACTCAATAAGTAGAGAAATAAGTCTAGAAAAGTGCTCCTTAGCATCCCCCAAAGAGCTAAGTTTAGAATGGTATAGAGCAGTGGTTCTCAAATATTAATGAGCTTTAGAATTATTGGAAAAATCTTGCTAAAAATGTGTATATTTGAGCTTCATTGCCCAGAGATTTAGAATCAGTAGATCTATCAGCAATGAGAATGGAGGAGCGGCAGTGGGAAGTATGTAGAAATTTGCACCTATAATATGTACTGTGAGAAACTCTAATGTTACTCATGTACAGACATCCTGTGAAGAGACACTACTCTGTTATGTGCAAGCAGACAGGAAAGAGAGAATAGAGGCAGAATTTCACTACTGGTAGGGTAAATGGAATAAACAATGATTCTGTGTTTATTCTATTTCTCTTCTGTCCTGGAGCCTTCAGCTCCTGTTGTACAGATAAGTTCTCTGAGCCCTGGGATATGATCATGTTTCTTTTCTGTCATCAAGGTTCTTTGTGTTGTAGGCTTATAAGAAAACCAAAGCTTTGCTGATAAACTTTCTTCTTTCTTTCCTTTCCCCTTTACTCTTTTATTCTCCCTTTTTTCTTTCCCTTCCTTTCATCTTCGATCCTCCCTTTTCTTCTTCCCTTTTTTTCTTGTACTCTTCCCTATTTTTCCCATTTCTTTTTCACTGTTTCTTTCCATTTTACCTCCCTTCCTCGTTTCCTCTCTCCCTCCAACTCTCAGATAGAAAAGAGGAAGTTCAACCAGAACTCTAACTCTACGTACTGTATCTTCATGGTCAACAAGCCCTACGCCATTACCTGCTCTGTGGTGGCGTTCTACATCCCATTTCTTCTCATGGTGCTGGCCTATTACCGCATCTATGTCACAGCTAAGGAGCATGCCCACCAGATCCAGATGTTACAACGGGCAGGAGCCTCCTCCGAGGGCAGGCCTCAGTCGGCAGACCAGCATAGCACTCACCGCATGAGGACAGAGACCAAAGCAGCCAAGACCCTGTGCATCATCATGGGTTGCTTCTGCCTCTGCTGGGCGCCATTCTTTGTTACCAATATTGTGGATCCTTTCATAGACTACACTGTCCCTGGGCAGGTGTGGACCGCTTTCCTCTGGCTCGGCTATATCAATTCCGGGTTGAACCCTTTTCTCTACGCCTTCTTGAATAAGTCTTTTAGGCGTGCCTTTCTCATCATCCTCTGCTGTGATGGTGAGCGCTACCGAAGACCTTCCATTCTGGGCCAGACTGTCCCTTGTTCAACCACAACCATTAACGGATCCACACATGTGCTAAGGTGAGTATATTAAGGGACTTCATCAATTTGGCGGATTTGTATTACTCAGAAGAAGTAATGCTCCAGTTTTCTGTTTCCAGTGGGGTTATCCCTGAAACCTGCATATAATTTGCAAAGATTAAAAAAGATTCTACCATCTGGTCATTGAATAGAGTAGTGGTTAAGAGCTCAGCCTCTGGAGGGAGACTGACTTTCATTCGATTCTAGTCTCCATAGTTCTATGAACTTGGGTGGGTCATTTAAACATTATTAACCTTAATGTCATTTTTTAAAAACTTAAGATAATAATCACTGTATCTACATCACAATGTTTTTATGAGAAATTAGCTAGTGTATGTGGAGCGCACGGCATGCCCTGACATTTAATAAGTATTCAGTAAATGTTAGCTATTATTATTTAAAGGTGGTACTTTAGAGTAGTGGTTAAAAGCATGGGTTTTAAAGTAAAATAGATTTTGTCTTGACCCTCAGTGCTCCTACTATCCATCTGCATACTCTGTCTTGGTTTTACTTTCCTTACCTTTAAAGAAAGGTAATAATGTTAATTCTCATCTCTTGCAGGTTTTGTGATGAGTAGAGATAATATATTCATATAGGACCTGACATACAGTAAGCACTCGCAATAGTACTAAAAATGTTGTGAATATTATTAGGGCCAGTAGTAATAGCATAGTGCCTGTAAACCTAAGATGGCCATAAATAACATGATAAACTGAAAATAAATACAATAATAAATATAAAACAGTAATACCATGTGATATAATGGTGTATAGAATGGCAATCTAGAATTGAGGTAGAAAGAAAAGGAAGTTGATTGGGCTTAATAAGCTCAGGGGAGGCTTCACAGAACATAGAACAGTATTTCATAAGAATCTGAGACATGAAGGAGAAAGCAGAGAAGCCATTTCAAGCAAATAGAACAGCATAAGGAAGGAAATGAAATATAAGAGAATATGGAAATGTGCAGTGATTTTTTTCCCAAGGTCACATAGGTGGATGGAGGTGGGAGTGATTTTGGAGTCAAATGTTCAGTGTCTAGTCGTGATACCTTTTTCTAAACCCTGAGAAATTTCTGGTCACCCTGGGCTAGAATTGTTCTCAGCTATGAAAAGCCATTTGTGATGAGTGCATTCATCCTGTAGCAAAACTAGATTGTCAATGACATTTTTTTTCTTTGCCCTGAGATGCACAGGAATTTCTAAAGAATAGTTCCTTCTTTGAGACAAGCATTTAATTTTTCTGATGATGATTAGTATTCAGCTCTTCTGGCAGCTGAAAATTGGGGGATATTTTCATTTGCATGTTTAATAAAAGAAGAAAATAAAAATAAGAATTGCTTTAAAATATAAATGCTGTGCCTCGGAGGCTGCTCAGAGCATGAATTCCATTTTTTGCTACAAGTGTAGGCAGATTTGTAGCTAAAGCCTAGCATGGTGTTGTGGTTTAAGCTGGTGGAAAGGCCCCAAAGGATACTCCTAGAAGCTGACATTCTCTCTTAATTATTATGCCTTCATGAGTGTCATAGAAAGAATTCAACCATAAAGTGTGTGTACAAGAACTTCTATGTGGGTGCCAAATAGGTTTTAGCTATTTAAGCTAGCAGTTGCCTAAGTACGGGCTGTTGACAACTTACAAACAGCGTATGCTCCAACACTTCATTTGCTAAGTCAGTTGTTTAGCAGTTGATGGCTTTTTTCCCATAGAAACTGTCATAGAGAGTTTGGGAGTTTGTAGGGCAGCCCAAGAAAGCCTATTTTACTAAATAGGATGTATTGTTAAAATCCTGCTGTGGCTGGTAATCTGTAGGATGATCATAAAGCAAAGAGATAATTTAGAGATGGCGTATGGATGTACACTCCATATTTTCTTCCATAAATTTCTTCATGAGGTCTATGATGTTTTCCTCTGGGGGTGGAGAATCTTATAAGAGTAAGGGTGGCCTACACAGAATAGTTGAAACCTGCATCCACTAGAGGGTAAATCTCACAAAGGACAGGAATTCTGCCTATTTTATTCAATGCTGTATACCAGATACCCAGCATGTTGTCTGATACGTGTAGGAACTTAATTTTTTGATTTGTTAATTCTTTAAGAATTAACAAATCATAAAATTAATTCTTCTGATAAATTGTTTTAACTTAGCACAACTAAGAAAATTTTGCATATTTCTTAAAAATCCCACAAGTAGAGCATCAGCAAATTCAGATGAATTCAAGAAATATAAACCAAAACAATGAAAATTAGTATCAGCTTTTATCCTGCTAATCCTACGCCTGTTCCCAGAGAAAATAGTTAACATTAGTCTGCTGATCTTTTTAATGTATTTACAAACATTCATAAAACTTTTCAAACACATAAGTGATGATTTTCTGTGAGGCTGAAGAAGATTTGACTTAGAAAATGGAATCGTTCTATATGTACTTATCTACATTTTGTTTTTTATCCTTTAACAAAACGTTTTGAAGATCTTTTCACTGGGGAAAATACAGCTCTAACTCATTCATTTTAGCTGTTCCATAATCTTCTGTATTAAAAATACATATTCAAATTTATTTAATTTTTTGGTATTAGTGGTGATGTAGGTGTTTCCAATTACTTGCCATTGCAAACTGTACTGTTTTTAATGCTCTGGAACACATTTCCTGGTGCATATGCTAGTATTTCTTTCAGATAGCTATCAAAAATGAAATTGTTCTATTGCAGGTATGGTCATTTAAAATTTTTACGTTTACTATAATATTGGCATCCTAGCACACTGTAATAATTTGCATTCTCATCTGCGAGTGTGAGAGTATCCTGTACTCCTTCTCCTCACCAACGTTGAGTATTATTAATCTTTAATATTTTCTTAATTAAAATATATTAGGATGGTGCAGAAGTAATTGCCATATTTAATTTGCATTACCCAGTGATTTATTAGATTGAACTTCTTCTAAATTAGTTATTTACTATTTATATTCATTATTATATAAACTGCATCTTTATGTGTTTGGCCCTTTTTGTGACAACTTTGTTGTCTTTTTCTTATTAATATTTCTGTGTATTCTTCATTATATTCTGTGTCATAGACTTGGCAAATACACCTCCCCATCTCTTACTTATTTTTTAACTTTGGTTAACTTTTGACATAGAGAAGCTTCAGATTTTGAAAAGGTGTTCTTGACCTCTTAGAGTTGGCCCAGCTTCCTTCTTAAAATACTTCCCACATTAATTTTCCTTAACACCATACTTTCCTGGTTTTCCTGCTAACTCACCAGCAACTTTTTCCCAATTTCTTTTACAGGCTCTTCCTTCTCTCTTTGGCTTCTAACTGTTGGAGTTCTTCAGGACTTGGCTTTTGATACTCTTCTCAGACTATGCTCTTACTTTACACATTCACTATCTATAACTTTAAATACAATCTTCATGCCGTCAAATCTCTTTAATCAATATCTCCAGGACATAACACTCCTCTGACATCCAGAGAGAAGATCCAATTTGCTTCCTTGACAACCCCATATAGGTACCTCTTAGAAATCTCAAAAGTAAAATGAGAATAATAATCTCACTGATGAAACTGAGGGTTTAAGAAATGAACTAACTTGCCCATGATTCTATACAACTAAAAGGTGGCAAGCCAAGAGTCTAACCTAAGCTGCTGACTCCCGAATCCACCTGCGTAACCAGTATAACTCATTTTCACATGAAATAGCAATAGAAAACTGAGATCCAAATCTCAGATTGGTTCACCCTAGTCTGCTCAAATAGAAGGAAAAACACTGTATTCCACGATTTCCTCCATCAAACAAACAATAAAAATAACCTTCCATTAAAAAAAAAAAAAAGACAGAAATCTCAAAAGTAATGCAACCAAAACAGAATTCTTGGTTCTATACTCTTACCCCCTGTATTGGCCCATTGTGTTGCTATAAATGATTACCTGAGGCTGGGTAATTTATAAAGAAAAGAAGTTTATTTGTCTAATGACTCTACAGGCTGTATGAGCATGGCATCAGCATTGGCTCAGCTTCTGGTAAGGTCTCAGGAAGCTTTAACTCATGGCAGAAGATGAAGGGGGTTTCATACATGTCTCATGGCAGGACAGGGAGCAAGAGAGAGGAAGAGAGGAGGGAGGTGCTAGACTCTTTTTAACATCCAGATCTCACAATAACTGATACAGTGACAATTTGCTCGTCACTACAATGAGATTACTAAGCCATTCATGTGTCCTCCAAGCCCATGACCCAGACACCTCCCACTAAACCCAGCCTCCAACTCTGGGGATCACATTTCAACATGAGATTTGAAGGGGACGAACATCCAAATTATCTCACCCTCTAACTACAAGTTTTCTGAGTCATCCCTATCTCCATAAATGGAATAATCTTGTATCATGTTACTAAATTAAGACACTTTTCTGTGGCTCTGAGGGAGAACTAACATATTAGAGGGCAGGCTTAAAGATTTAAAAAAGAAACCAATCAGCTGGTATTGAGGAGATGGAGCTAAATAAAAATAACTCCAAAATTCAACCATGGGGGCAAAATATAAATCATAAAAATGTAAGATAAATAAATATCTAGCTGCATGTATAAAATTTAGAATTTTATAGGTGTGCCTTCGTTTACCTCACCCAAGGCAAACATTTAAAAAGTACTGGACAAGTCACTAGAGACCTCTTTCTATTTTATTAATAATAATGATTATGATACCTAACATTATTCCAGAAAATAATGTTTGTTACTATATTTAAGAGCTCTAAATGCATCATCGCATCTAATTTTTATAACTCAAAGAGGTAAAGTATTATTATCGTTGTCGTTTTAAAGATGAGAAAATTGAGCGTTAGGGTAAGTAACATGCCCAGAGTCACATAAATAGTAAATAATGAAGCTGGAATGCAGACCCAACTCTTTGTGACTTCAAAACTCAGTCTTGTCCATCCACTTAGAGTCAGAGTAAAGATTACAACTTTCCATGTTCACCTTGGCGTTTTGGATAAAGTTAACGAGTCATTCATT